AATTGATTTATAAGTATATAAAGTCACTTGAACAAGAAACAGAAAAAAAAATTGCCTATGACTGGGATCGAACCCTGCCCAGCAAAATAAAAGATTGATGCTCTAACCACTGAGCTATTATGGTTTCAATAATAGGGAAGATGCTTGAAAATTATAAGCTGCAGGCTTGGGCACAGAGAGTGGGGGTAGAGCTTGCCGGTGAAGTGTCGGAACTTGCCGCGGATTGTTTTAAACTATTTTTTATTGTTAATAAGTTGTTAAAAAAGGCTATTATCAATGTATTTGTACAAAAAAAGGTTAATGACCCTGTTCAAATATTGTCTCATTTGTCATCGATTGATTGAAAAATAATTTTACATAAAAATTGAAATTTAAAACTCATTTTCGGCATGATAAAATTGCAATTACATGCAATTTGAATTAAAAAACAAAAATTTTCCGCAATTGGAATCGAACACCGTTCGGTAAAATAAATGTCGAATCTTCTGACTACAGAGCCAACATATGTTCATTTGCTTTGTTTACGTTTAGATATCATAAGCTTCAGGCTTGGTAACAGAGGGTGGGGGATGTGCTTGCTCGTCAACTGTTCGAACTCGCAGTCTTCTCTGAAAAATAAGACGGAGATAAATAGATATATTCTGTGCTCTGTCTTGCTCGAAACAGATTATTCTGAAATTTGTAAATTTCTTGGTGCCCTAAGGCTCCCTTTTTGTAGTGCATCCCTGAAAATTATCATTTTTCGAACGATTTCCCTGTTACCTACTCAATTTCAGTTGATGTCAAGCTTCGGCCTTTTGCCGGACAACACGAGGGCGTAAAGTCAACTCCGGGAAACTTTCTGACTTCAGCCCAGCCTTAAACATTATAAAATAAATAACAATCTCTAGACTTTGTACATTTTGGTTTTCTTTAGGGGGAAATTGACCGTTCAGAATGAAGTCGTAAGTAGACAGAAGATTCATGCTGCATTCACATGAGAGTGAATCAAAAGTCAACAGAATAACTATTTGAATTCTTCTGTAAATCTATATTTAGAATTTTCCCAAAAACTCAATTCAAATAAAAAGTAATTTTGAAAAAAATTATTAATAATTTTAACACAATTTTAACTGTTGCGTCTTTAATGCCTTATACTATTGTACTGGAGCGACATTTGTACCAGAACTATACTGTCCTGAACATTTTGGTCATATAACATTTGTGCCCCTTTCGAAATGTGCTAGCAGTAAATTTACAATGTTGGTAGAGTAGAAACAGTTTTAACCGTTTATTGTGTTTATTTATTCAATGATCCTCTAGTACATGTATTTATTGGATATAAAGTATATTCATTATGATTAGTAGAATATTCATTGATTATTTTTTTCATATTTTTTTATTTATTTACCAAAAAAAGTATATATTTTAATTTATCTGTACCTCAAAATTATGAAAAATTCAAAAAAACATGAAAACATGATTTTAAATCTATTTAATTTTCTCCTAATATTTTTAATAATTTGTCGAACCTTTTTCTTTTCTTTTCCAACTTCTCTTCTTCTTCTTTTTTTCTTTTTGATGTGTAATATCTGGAACAAGACATTGAACTATAAAATGACAATGTTCATTTGGTTGTACTTTACTTCATTGTTATTGCAATTAAATAACCCTTACATTTTGTTTCGCAGCTTGAGATTTTTCCCACCTCTTTTTTCTTTCCTTGTAGAAACATCTATTTTAATTTTTTTTTTCGTTTTTTCATCTTTTAGTAAATTTTGTGTTCTTGTTTCGATGACCTGTAAATTGAATTTTATTAAAAAGTATTCAGAAAATCAATCACACCGATTTTTTAATATCTCTGTACAGTCACAACTATTGACAGATAAATAAAATATCTTCGTCTGACAATTTATGATTAATTTACCGCTACTATCAACTACCGTATTTACTTGATTTATGTATAGGTACGTTTGACAGAAAGGAGCATTCAACACGCTCACCAGCGCTAAAAGAACATTTATTGAAAGATGGTTGTTTTATTTAAGTAATAGGTACACGGTATATCCCCGATTGATACACTCCTCAAAACTTTATTACTTTTTATTAATTTTTTATACCAAAAAAAATTTACATTCATAATTTGGCGCCTCAGTAATTCTTTCGTTTTTTACCAACATAATATTTTCCAAAGTCATGCAGCAACTTCATGGTAGTACCAACTTTATAAAAAAAAGTCGTACTTTTAAGGCTGGGCTGAAGTCAGAAAGGCGACTGATTCCCCCTATCCAAATATATGGGTTCGGGAAATTTCTGATTTCTTCGCCAATTTACAATTATTTCTATAAAATTAGGTACCAAATTACAGAAAAATTAATGCCGGACTGACGTAAACAACAATTTTTTGTATATAGTGAATATTTTTATTAAAAAAATTAGAAAGAATAATGAAAAAATTATGAATTGATTTGCCGCGCTTAAATTTCAAGATGGCGGCCACATCATTCAGATGAAAAATCACTAATTATTTCATTTTTATACGTTTTTCGCCCAAAATTCGTGTTTGCGTCAGTCCTTGCCACCTGTCTGAATGTCAAAAAAATCAATTCATAGTATAAAATTGAATAATTTAGAAATAATTAGAAATCTTGTATTCCAGATGATATTCTCCGGAAAATTAGTTTGAAAAAATTCTGATAGGTGACAGCATTATGCTCGTAGATGACCTCAGTCATTCATATTGAAAAAATGCTCAATCCGTATCCAGAACTGATGGGGCCCTGCATTTTGGTGAGTAATTTGTGTATGAGTGTGTACGGGTAATATATGTATGTGATGTAAACATAGTGTATCGCTTTACAATGCCTTATACTTTGATGACTATTGCAGTTAGAATAAATAAAAATGATGATACTCATTTAACATTAATTAATATAATACCTGCAAATAACTTCAAATATATATATTCATCCATTGTTATCATTTTTATTAGGTATAAATGTTAATCAAAAAGCTCAATTCCGAGTCGGCGTATCCAAGCATGTAGTGTAAAAACAAATACACATAAACTCAATATCGAGATTATGCTGGCCATGTGGTTAGAGCGTCAGAGTTCTATTTTGCCGGGCAGGGTTCGATCCTAGTCATAATCACTTTTTTTTCTACTTTATTCGTTAGATTAGCATGTAATTATAATATTGACATGCCATAATTGATCCATTATAATGATTTGATTTTTTTTTCTCTTTACTCATTGAATTCATTGACACTAAGTCAGAAAATATTTGAACAGAGCCATAAACTTTTTTTTTGTATAAATACATTGATAATAGCCTGTGTTTAACAACTTATACATCTTTACATGTATTAACAATGTTATGTTATTAACAAGTTAATCATATTATTATTAACATTGAAAAGTAGTTTAAACAATCTGTGGCGAGTTTCGGCACTTTCCCGGCAAGTTCTACCCCCACTCTCTGTGCCCAAGCCTGCAGCTTATAATTTTTAAGCATATATGAGCGTACTAAAACCATAACAGCTCAGTGGTTACAGTATCGGTCTTTTATTTTGCTAGGCAGAGTTCGATTCCAGTCATGATAAAGTTTTTTTTTCTCTTTTATTTGTTAGATTTGCATGTAATTATAATATTAACATGCTAAAATGAATTCTTACCAACGATTTGATTTTTTTTTCTCAATTATTTATGTAATTTATCGACGCCGAGTCGGAAAACAGGGTTATAAACACTTTTTTTACTACAGCTATATGAACGTAGTTTTTTTTTAAGCAATTTAGAAATATTTAGAAGTAGTTGAAATAATCCACGGGGATTTCCGGCACTTCGCCGGCAAACTCTATCCCTACCCTTCGTACTCAAGCCTGCATTATACAATTTATAAACATAAACATAATGTCAGAGATGATGTGTTAGCTCTGTGAGTAGAACACCAAGCTTTCATTTTACCGATTAGGGTTCGATCCCAGTCATAACCAATTTTTTTTTTCCTTTTTTTTTCATTAAAATTTTATATAAATACAATAATTGGTTGTTTATATAAGTTCAAAATCAATTCCTATTGTCTTTTAAAGACAACACTTTCGAAAAAAGAGAATTCATAGTAACTCGTTCCTCACCCTCAGCTGATTTTCAGAAAAACAAGTTGTTCTCCGTAATTAATTGGAAGAATAATTTAATCAAATATATGAATTAATTTATAAGTATATAAAGTCACTTAAGCAAAAAAAAGAAAAAACAATTGCCTATGACTGGGATCGAACCCTGCCCAGCAAAATAAAAGATTGGTGCTCTAACCACTGAGCTATCATGGTTTCAATAATAGTGAAGATGCTTGAAAATTATAAGCTGCAGGCTTGGGCACAGAGAGTGGGGGTAGAGCTTGCCGGTGAAGTGTCGGAACTCGCCGCGGATTGTTTAAACTATTTTTTATTGTTAATAAGTTGTTAAAAAAGGCTATTATCAATGTATTTGTACAAAAAAAGGTTAATGACCCTGTTCAAATATTGTCTCATTTGTCATCGATTGATTGAAAAATAATTTTACATAAAAATTGAAATTTAAAACTCATTTTTGGCATGATAAAATTGCAATTACATGCAATTTAAATAAAAAAACAATTTTGCCGCAATTGGAATCGAACACCGTTCGGTAAAAGAAATGTCGAATCTTCTGACTACAGAGCCAACATATTTTCATTTGCTTTGTTTACGTTTAGATATCATAAGCTTCAGGCTTGGTAACAGAGGGTGGGGGATGTGCTTGCTCGTCAACTGTTCGAACTCGCAGTCTTTTCTGAAAAATAAGACGGAGATAGATAGATATATTCTGTGCTCTGTCTTGCTCGAAACAGATTATTCAAAAATTTGTAAATTTCTTGGTGCCCTAAGGCTCCCTTTTTGTAGTGCATCCCTGAAAATTATCATTTTTCGAACGATTTCCCTGTTACCTACTCAATTTCAGTTGATGTCAAGCTTCGGCCTTTTGCCGCACAACACGAGGGCGTAAATTCAACTCCGGGAAACTTTCTGACTTCAGCCCAGCCTTAAATATGAAATTCTATATTCTATAATAGTTGTCATATTACTATAATTTAATTTTAATAGTTAAGACAATATTATTTTATATATAAAAATTCTTTTCATTAAACTGTTTAAAGTAAAATAACAATAATTATTCGGAATTATTAAAATATTTTCAGGTTATACACTACCGGATAACCTCAAATCAGTGTATCGACATTTTTCGTTCGTTTAAAATGGTATTCATAAATGTTTACAAACATTTATGCCGATCAAAAATAACTTATCTTACTAGAATAATAAAAAATAAAGGAAATTGGTTGAAAAATGTTCAGTCGTATCAAGAACAGAAATTAATAAGAACTCCAATAAATATTTATTATACTTCTAAAAGATTTTTAAGTAGCGGATTTAAATTCGATATTAATCCAGATTCTTCAGAGGTTCAACTTCCACCTTTAACAGATGATAAACCATTAATTTTTCAAAACTTTTTTTCTCTGTTTTCAAATCCTTATTATTTATCGATTTTGTCAACCTTTTATGATCGAGAATTTAGTGCTGAAGAATTTTTCGAAGGATCTAAACAAGTGTGATACGTCTGTTTAAACTTAAATTTAACTTTGAGAATTTTATCATTTAAATAATTTCTTTTAGGCATTGGAAGTAGTATCTAAAGCAATAGCTGTTGAAGATTTTAATAGTTTAGAAGAGCTAGTTGCCGATAATGTTATATCTAAAATAAGACAAAGTATAACTAAACTTTCAGAAGCTCAAAAACAACTGATTCCTGTTCTAAAGGAAGATATATTGTACTTTATTCCTGCTAAAATTCGTATAAATAAACAAAATATACAAGGTGCTTATATTAACATTATTTTCTTTACTTCCATTCATTGAAAAATATTTTTTGTTACAGAAAAAAATGTAGTCTCTGCTGAGATAACAATGATATATTACAGTTATAGAAGAGAGCAAGACGGAATTAAAAGAGTAGAAGTAACTAATCCCAAAAGTGCAGAACAAATTATAATCAGTAATTGTCGTTTCAGACGAGAATACACTGATAATATCCCATCATCTTGGATAATTACTATGTATAATCAATTTACAATAATAGGATTAGTAAGCAATGTTTCTTTTTTGTAATATTTTTGATTATTTTTACCCTCAATAATTTTTTCTTGTCTTATTTTCAGCAACCACCGAGTTCACAATAAGAAGATTTTATTTTATTATCCGAAATAACTTGGACAGAATAAATAATAATATTATTGATAAATAGTCTATTTGCCTATCTATGTATATATACAAATATATAAATTTAAGATAATATAATGAAATTTTTAACCTATAACATACACAGTATAGGAGGAATGTAAGATACGATTTGAAACATTATTGCATCAATTACTCGGCCATCTTTTTCAATAGACAGTACTAATGGATCCTACAAATCATATAAATAATGTTACAAAATATCATGATTGATCATCTAATGGAAATATTTGAAACTTACTCTACTCATTTGTGGATTTTGCAAGTAAAACACATTTTTTTCTAGACTTTGATATAAATTATTTTTTAACACTGGCGATGAATTATAACAATTACATACTAAATTTTCGTTGACATTAAGTACACTTAGTTTTATCCAGTTCAAGTAAGGTTTCATTGTTTGATTTATTTTTAATTGACATTTTATTTTACTATGGTCAAAATTCAGATCAATTGTTCGAGTAGGAAAATTCATACAATTGGTTAATTTATTTCGAATGTCAATACCTTTTTCTAAAATAAAGTTATTAGTTTAAATTTGTCTTCATCAAATATAAATAAAAATTTTTTTTTTACATTTAAGCATTAATTATATTTACCTATATGTAAAGCGTCAATAAGCCGATAAGGTCTAGTGATATTCGACGAAAACATAGGTATTTGATTTCTTTCTTTTCCCTTGAACCAAGTATCTATGGCTGAAAGATATAATAATTTTTTTTATTATAGTAGCTTCAAATAGAAACACTAAATTACTTACATTTGGCAGTTTTTTCTAAAACATTTTGAATGGGTAGATCTTTTGTTATGTATTTTATAAGATGTAATACGTATAATCCATATTCATTTTTTGAATGTTCATAACTGGGGCAGTAACTAGAAGTTGAATAAGCTTGTATTAAATTTCTCAAATTACTGTTGCTTTTATATTCGTTAACTATTGGAATTTCAGCGTAAATACATGGATTTAATTGTCTGAAAAAACCAATAAATATTAATACCCTCATAAGTATTATAAACAACTCACAAAACTTAAATATTACTTTGAAGGGAGCGTCTGGCACATGTCAAGAATAATAACAAGTAATGCTGGGTCTGTTGGAAGTAGTGTTGCCAGCAATTCACTCTCACATACTGCATCGTTTCGTAGAGCTGTTTTTGGTGCATCTACTGCAAGCATGTAACATTCTTGCATTTTAAACCCATGTCCAGCAAAATAAAACAATCCTATAATTTAATTTTACGTTAATTTAGATAACATATGCATTGAATATGATATAAAATTATCATTACCATATACGCCTTCTGAAAGAAAGGATTTAAAAATTTTAATTGCATTCTTCATTTGTTGAATTGTTAAATTTAACAAACAAATCACTTGAAATCCAATTTCTTTAAGTAACTGTCCAAGTTTTGCAACATCTTTCCGTGGAATGTTTAATTTTTCATAACAATCATAATTTTCATTAGCAATTAATAAAGCAATTTTTGCCACAGCTTTTTCTCGAGGTAAATCAATCTGGAAATGAAATCAATAATATGTTTTTTCTATTAAATATTAAATTTTATTATCATCTTTTAATAAAAATGAATAAATGACAATAATATATAAACATATAATCTCAATTACATTATAACAAATAGATTGAATTAAAAAATAATGAAAAACTTATTAGGTTTATAAGTTTATTTCTGTTTATCAATACGTATTTATTAAAAATATAGTAGTCACTTTTTATTTTATATCAAATGTTAATGTTGGATATTATTTATGTTATTTGAAAAAATGTTAGCACAACAAGTAATCAAAAATATATTTATATATTTTTATGCAACGAATCACTTTTTAACATTATTAATAGAAATGTATGAAAATTGTTTAGTAAAATGTAAATTGTACTTACTATTACGGTACTTTTTTCACTTATAGTTTCATTTATTCCGTTCGAAACGTAACAATAATATTTACCCTCATGTTTACAAGAAAATTTTTTTATTTCCAATTTTTCAGATTGTTGATCATCTAATTTAATATTATTTTTATACCATTGATACTTTGGGTTTGGATGAGAATAAGCTTTACAAGTTAAAGTAAGAGTTTCATTCTCTTTGATTGCAATAAATGGTTGTGGCTGACTTTTTATTACCACTGGAGTAGGTTGAATTTTCAAATGTACAGAATTGGAGAATAACTGATCTAAAACATTATCATCAGAATCTATTTGTTTCACATGACATTTATACTCTCCTTCTTGATTAATATTATCAATTAAAATTTTCAAGGCATTTCCTTGAATTTTGAGAATAGTGTCATTGTGGTACCAAGTGTAGGTTGGTGGTGGTAATCCTATTGCTTTACATTCTAAAATTAATATATCATTTAAGGCTATTTCTTTTTCTAACACTTGATTGTTAGGATGCTGTATAATAATCAATGGTTCAGGTTGATGAATTATCGAAAGAGCATCTAAAAGTTCGGAGTCTTTGAGTAAATGACCAAGAATTTCTACAGTACACATTCTCATATTAAGTTGATCTAATAAATTTTCTCCTGGAGTTTTTTTTGTACCATTTGATTCATCGTTATTTAAGTATTTAATCCACGAAGCACTGTAAAATTGTAATGGAGTGTAAAGATTCAATAAATATAGTTAAATACCATAGCAATATTTTTACTTTGCAAATCCGAGTTTGTCACAAATATATTCAGCTAATTGATTCCAACGGTTATGTTTATTCAATTCAGTAAAAAGCTTTTTGTACACCAATACAGGTAAATTTTCAAGATACATGTCGTTGTCAAATTTATACATAGCTTAATTTTGAACTTATTCATTTATATTCGAATAATGAAAAATACGGTAAAAATTTCTTATTTAAGCTCAGTTAAATTCGGTGGCAATGACAGCTTTAAGAGCAATGAATTAATGTATGTTAGCAATGAGGAAATTTTATCAAGGTCATAAACGTAAGCTGAGTCATGTATGTAACTTGAACAACAATGTATGTATATACGTTAGAATTTTTAAAAATTACATGCTTTTGTAATAATTGATATTAAATAAATTCAGACCAAGACAATGATCTTTTTTATTCAAAAATTTCTATTTAATAATATATTATAATATTAATTTTACAATAATATTTATAATTATTTCTGAAAATTTGATTTAAAAAATAAGATAATTCCGCGTAATATCAGTTGGTAAAATCGTTTACTTCTTTTAACAGCAGAGAAATTTTTTCAATGCGCTCTCGCAGTCTGTCATCATCGTGCGCATAAACTAGTGTTTCTCTTTGTAAAGATATAATTGTTGAGTTTCTTTTCAATGTAAATCCATTTTATCCATATATATTGAGACAATATAAAGTTAAAATTTACATGAATTGATGTAAATATTAATCTAGTTGAGCTGAGAATGAAGAAATTTAAATGAATTTTTCATATATTGACCTCTACGTAGCAATAGTCATTAGATCAACTAATGCTTCTACAAAAAACTGTTTCTAGGTGATGCGCGTGGCGCGCTGCGTCAGATAATCTTGTGTATCAGTGACCGTCAGTCAATTATGGAGGCAATATTATATGGAAAAAGACCTTACCACAATTTTGTGTGTAACATAAGTTAGTATAATTAAATTTAAGTAAAAGTGCGTGAGATTAAGAGTAAACATTCAACAGTGCAGAAATAAATTGATTTTTTTCTTTGTGATTAATCTATGAAATATTTTTTATGTGAATAAAACGACATTTAATAGTTGTTATTTGTTAAATGAAAATGATTAAGTGAAGTATATGTCAATGCATACAAAACAGAAGAGGTCATGTTTATACCGTACAATAGGAAGTAGTAAAAAAAAAATTAGCAAATGCGAACATCCTAGACCTGTGACAAACGTGTAAGCTCACGAAAAATAAACAGAACGGAAAGGAGTGGGAAAAAACGAGAGAAAAAATTTAAAAGCATTAGAGATTAAAAAAATGATGAAATAACGATACAAAAGTAGAAGTGGGTAATGAAAAAAGTGATTGAGAAATAAAGATTAGTGGTACTTGTGGACAACTAATAATAATCAATAATATAAAGAATTAAAAAATAAAAGTGTTGTGCGTGTAAAAGTGTTGAAAACTTGTGCTGTGGTTCAGCCATCATGGCGAATCCACGGAAATTCAGTGAAAAGATTGCTCTTCTAAATCAAAAGCAAGCAGAAGAGACAGCAGCATTTGAAGCAATAATGCGAGAGGTTTCCGACGTTACTAGCAGAGTATGTATTTTAAATAGACAGTTTTTTCATTTTTTATTATATTCTTAGTTTTTAATAAAAATTTTCATTGCTTTTCTTGAATTTTCATCATAAGCGCGGGTCAACATTACGTTTATACTTTTTCTAATCACATAACATAAACATACAAGTTTGTTTCGACGCGTGCCTATAATCATTCTCATGTATTTATATGCTTGAAGTGTGAACCGGAATGATTCGACTATGAAAATAGAGGGGTAACATACAGGTAGATAAATAGTTTTGAATCAATACTCGATGTTTGAATTTTTTTTATTTCATTATTGAACATTGAAGAATTTTTGGACATAAGAAAATTAATTTTTAACAGAATTTCAATTATTAATTATATCGCAGTTATAATTATTATTTATCACCAAAGGTATTTAAGAATAATTATTGTTAATGTATTCGATTTTTAAAGTTTTGATCTTCACGTGTGAAATTATCAAGTAATAATTATCAATTATTCATAATTGTAATCAGGACTTTCATTGTCTTGTTATGAAAGTTAATGTGCTTATCATGAATATCTTTATATGGTAGTGTAGTGTTGACTTCTTGCATTAAATAAAACACTTAACAGTCATTAACTTATCAACAATTAAGTAAATCATAATTAGAATATAATTTTTTTGTTTCAGTTGAAAATATCATTTGTATTTTACTGTTTTGATTTTTGTTATTATTATTATTATTATTATTATTTTTAATATGAAATAAACAATTGGTATAGTTTAAAGTTATTTAAAGTTTGCTCATTTTGTATATAAAAACTTGAGATTAAAGAGATAAATGAAATGTATTATATTGATAATCATGACAAGTTATCTTATAATTTGTATAAAAAAAAGTTTACAATTACACTCTTAAAAATTTACATGTATGCATAAAGTTAGTGAATAATTGAAATATATTCAAAAATTATAAACTAATTTTTTATTGGTTCAAAACTCAAATGACGATTTATTTATCAAAGTAGTTTTTAAAAATTTCGTCTTAGAGTATACACTCGGCGTCATTAATGCCTGGTCCATCAAAAACTTTGATACCATCCGAGCAAAATTATCGATGGAGTAGTTTTTTTTTCAAACAGATTCTACACCTAAATTAATTTAGAAAGTTTATGAATAAATACCCTTTCAGATAGTCCCTATAACAATAGACTATCCCCACTAAAAAATTTTTGAACCTTAATTCAAATAATAATAATAATAAATTTAAATAATAATAATTATAATTTAAACTTACTTTTTCAGTCATTATAAAATAATTGTGACCATTAATGTTAGTTCGATTATAATTTAATTATAAACTTAAGTTTATAATTAAATTATAATTATTATTATTAAGGTTCAAAAATGTTTTAGTGGGGATAGTCTATTGTTGTAAGGACTATCTAATTTAAATTCACAGTAATAACTAAATGTTATGAGTTCAAACCAAGTATTGTTGAAAATTATTAAACATGATTAATATCGTCGATACAATCTTTAAAATAGAAACACTGAAAATCAATGATTCAAATTAGTTGAATAGTGGAGTCCTAAGGACTATCTAAAAAAGTATTTAATCATGAACTTCCTAAATTAATTTAGATGTTGAATTTCTATTTGAAAAAAAAACTACTCCATCGATAATTTCTCGGATGGTATCAAAGTTTTTGATGGACCAGGCATTAATGACGCCGAGTGTACTTGGTTTACCATTGTTTTCCTCATATCTATTGAGCAATTACCGACTGCGAATACAATTTTTTTTGCATGTAGTTTCCGATAGAAAATTTTTCAACTCTTAACTGTTTTAAAGAACTTCTATCTAAAATAAAATATTTGTGACAATTGAACTGTTATGTTCTATCACATGAAATACTTTTTTTTACTACCTTGACTTATTTAATTATAGTTTATGTTCAAAAAATTAGATATCGAAAACTTTATTTGAAAAAAAAAATCTCTTCCGTCGGTAACTACTCAAAAGCTACAGAAAAGGCATTTCTGAAGCTAAATATAAAAAAAGTAGTGTAAAGCTTTTTATGTGAACATTTTTGATCCAAAGTTTTAGGGATAACAAAAGTTGCTAGGTTAGCATAACTCGTTCAGATAATAAAACTAAATAAAAGTTTTCTCTGATTTAAAATTAATTTCAATTGAATGATGTGTATTCTCAAATCTATACTTTTATTGTCGAAAAGTCATTTTGTATTAACACATTGCCTACAAACAATCATCCTTGTAATCCGCATTTACTACAAATTAAATATTTTTTATAGTACTCGAGTACGGTGAACAGCATTTAAATTCACAGTAATAACTAAATGTTATGAGTTCAAACCAAGTATTGTTGAAAATTATTAAACATGATTAATATCGTCGATACAATCTTTAAAATAGAAACACTGAAAATCAATGATTCAAATTAGTTGAATAGTGGAGTCCTAATTACAGCAGTGAAATTGATTGTCGTAATTTGTAATTCAACTGTTAATTATATTCACTGCTAAATTTATCTATAATGTATACTTAATGTTTCCGAAACGTTCACGTCTTTATCTTTAAAATATCAGTGCTCTCTAGTGGTTTGGGTGCGACCCAAAAGATCCACACTACTAACTTCTCAGTGCGAATAATGATAAAATTAAGCTATTTTACTATTTCTTTTAGTTTTTTGATTTTGCATAGAAAATGGCTAGACCGATTTTGCGTAATTATGTGTTAAATGCAATTGGTCACACGTCAATAGTATTTTTTGTTCTCGAGATAATTAAGGCGAAACATAATTCCAAACAAACATACATGCACAGGCGTAGTAAAAAAAAATATTTTTTTCGACTCTGAAGACCTTGAAATATGGAGATTTATCCAAATTTGGGATTCGCCAAATCGGACCCATTGCAATAAATTCTCACTCGGAAGTTAAACTAAATCAGTTGATCCATTTTTAATTCCATAAATTTTATTAGAAATTATAAATACTTAAGGTATTTCGATCAAGACTAATTTGTTCTTAAGATTTTTTTTGTTACATGGAAATGAAAGATGATTAAGAAATAATGAAAATTATTTTAATGAAAAAAATCGATTAACGTTTAGAATTCAAGTTATTCAAAATCAAAGTTCACTTTTCTCTCCGTTTAAGCAAACGATAAATCACTACAAGACAAGGTTTTTAACATTCATTAAAAAATAGCTCTTTAAATTTTCATAAAAAAAAAATTATCCAGCGTATGTATATTTGTAATTAATACTTTGCCCAAAAAATCAAGTTTTATCGTACCGTTCCTAGAAAAAGTTTTTTACTAATAATTTTAGTCCGAATTCTCCTGTAAAATAGGCATTATCCTCCTTTTTTAAATCTTTAAATGTTTTCCGAAATAATGAAAGAGAAATTGATACATATATTCAGAAAGCTAGTGTGTATATTTAATCGGAAAACGTAGTTGCACCGATTATCAACCGATTAAGGATAGTTATATTCATTTATATGTACGATCAAAACATACTAACTTTTTTAAATTTTGCGAGTGTTGTACATATTATAACACGATTATTAACAACAATAATCGGTATTCGTTATTATTCCGCTTAAAAATATTTTAAATAGTTAATCTCTTCATTTATTCATTATTAGTTTTTTGTTATAACAACATACATACGTACGCACACACACGCATCATTCTAAAAATTGGTCAGTATCTTTGTAAATATCTTGAGACGTAGAGATATGATAAAAATTCAAATTTCACCAATTGACCCAATTTTAATAACTTCCTAATGGGAAGTTAATAAATACCAACAATTTTTCATATAAAAACTTATTGCCCATCATTGGGGTTATGTTTGTTCTCTCTTAAACAATTAATGGCAGGAACACTATAAACTCTACGACTGTTGAGCAACTCTGGCACTAGAATTTTACGATCTACGTCATGTATCACATAATCGTAAATGTCTTCCTTTTCAATCCATCTCCAGTTATTAACACTCATTGTTATCGTTTTCATTTTTACTAATTTGTTATCACTTTTAAGCACAGTACCATGGTATAATTTAGCTTCATATTGGACAATTACAACTTCTCTTTCTGACTAGCATGATTCTGAGTCGACAGTGTTTACATCTAGAGATTGTTTGATTGCTCTATTGGTTTTCTTATTTTGTCGTTCGATTTTTTTTATTTTCTTTGATTTGTTTCTCTTTTTGTAATTATCGTTGGTGTTCCAAGAATTCCTTGTTAATGGCGACTACTAAAGTTATTTTTCTTTTTTCGTTAGTAGGATTGGCGGTTTTTCTTTTAAGAATGTTTTTTTCAGGCTATTACAATGACCAATTAAATGGCGATGTGAAGTCATTAATTTTATTTTTTTGTGGGGTTTTTCCACGGATCTATTGATAATATTGATAACCTTCTCGTCGTCTACAATAGCATCAATAACGTCACTCGACAATTCTTCACTTAGTATTGCTTCTATTAAGTTACTTGTTTTCATATCACACTTAACGAGGTTTGATGTTATTAAATTATTGTAATAGTGTAGATATAATACTTGCTTCCACAGCTCAAAAAAACTTCTATGGCTTTCATCACCATTTTTTGTACTGGAACATTCAGATTTTGTTACTTTATAAATACAACAAATAGTAAATCGATAATAATTAGGAGCTGTATTGGTTAATTGAAAGTCATGCTTGAGGACACACTGAAAACGTTTTTGCAATGTTCTTGATTTTAAAAAGCGCATACTATCATTTAGTATTATACAGTAGCGGTAGATACTCAGCACCAAGTCACCCGCAAATTTTGCCCCATGTCCAACTAGTGCGCACTTGCGGCTCACATTTACAGTGCCGAGTAACACCCTCCTCTATATAGAAAAGTTTGAGCTTGACGTCATGACGCAATGTTCAATTGTAAATATCTCGATAAATAATCGAAATTACAGGATGATTTTTAATATACAATCAATAATGATCGTTAGCTTT